CAACCCCCTCCCCCCAACCACCTTCCCCCAACACCCTCCCCCCAACCACTCGTATACACCCCCTCCCCAACCATGACAAGAGTATCCCCCGTCTACATTGTGCATGGGCGTGAGCACATATCTAGCCTGACCATGTCATAACTGTCACTCGGAATCGGCCCTCATCATCATCATCGCCCACGCGCAGTGTCGATGAGAGACCACGTTTGTTAGGAGGCGGATGCATGGATGCGATGATGCTGCTGCTGCTGCTGCTGCTGCTGCTGCTGCTGCTGCTGCAGCGTGTCGTATTGTGTTGTCGTGTTAATGTGTGTAGTGATGATAGTGATGATGATGATGATGATGATGATGATGATAGTGATGATGATGATGATGATGATGATGATGATGATGATGATGATGATGATGATGATGATGATGATGATGATGATGATGATGATGGGTAGCATGCCTCTCGTCGCACGACCTTTGCTTTATGCACAACTTGCACGATCGCGCGTTTTCGTAGCGGGGGGGGGGGGGAGGGTGCAGGGTGGGTGCAGGTGCGGGGGAGGTGCGGGGAGGGTGTAGGTGCAGGTACGGGGGGGGCAGGAGAGGGTGCGGGGAGGGGGNGGCAACCGCCGCTCCGCAGCTCGTACTGTGAAGCGTCTTGCTGAAGGCACCTATTTTACCGCATGATAAATATTGTCCAAGCATGTCCGCGGCGCCCATACTTATTAAAACATACCATGGCCCGCGCCCGCCGTTGTGTTATTGCGCAGGCAACGCGTCGCCACTCGTACGTTAAGCGTCTGCCTTGAAAGCCGCACCTATTTTACCGCTATAAATATTTCCAACCCATGCCGACTCCAGTACTATACAAACAACATGGCCCGCCCGCGTGTTTGTTAGTCCGCCCCTGCTTGAGGCAACGCGTCGCCGTACCAGACGTGCGTACGTGAAGCGTTCATGCTGAAGGCCGCCCTTATTTACGCGTATAAATATTACACAACATGCCGCTCGCATACTACTAAAACAAAACATGGCGCCCGTCCTGGCTGTCCTTTCTGTCTTCTCGCGCACCGGGCACAATCGCGTCGGCACGTCGTGAAGGGTGTGCTGCAATAGGGGCGGCTCGGCCTCTGGGGCTGTGCCCGTCTGCGTGGTGGTAACGACGCGCGACATCGCCGCGGTGCGGCCTGCTGTGTGTGCATGTGCGTGTGGCTGTGGTGTTAGATGGATGATTTGCTATGCGCTTCATGGCGGCGGACCTCCCGAGCGAAGCGGTTGCGAGCTCGTGACGTGGCCAGCGCCGACAACACGCCCGTCATGCACGAAGATCTACTCGACGCTGCACGTCGCACTAGTGTGTGTTGTGCGGGAACGTCGCGCGCGTCACAGTTTCAGAACGCCATCGACTGAGTACGAAGTGTGTGAGTACTGGGTGTGTTGTGTGGGTTGGTGTGTGTGTGGGTGATCGTGGTGGTGTTGTGGGTGGGTTGTGTGGTGTGGTTTGTGAGGTGGGCGCCTGCCGCGGAGCGGCGATTCACTGCGTCTGCCTTGTGTGCGCCAGCTAAGTTGGTGAATGCGCAGGCCCACAGGGCGGGGAGGGGCCCACAGGTGGCGCGTAGTGGTGACTGGTGCCCGCACGGCCACAGCGCGGCGGCAGTGGGTGCACGTGAGGGGCGGCCGTGTGGTGAGTTGTGTGCCGCGAGCACATGCGGTTATGTTGGGTGGTGTTTGTGAGGTGGCCACCAGTTGGGTTGGGTGGGTGAGGCGTAGTGGTGAGTGCGCCGGGCACAGGGGGCCGGAGTGCGGCAACCAGGCCGGCACCAGGTGGGCCCGGTACGTGGCTGATCGTGCCCGGGCACAGAGGTAGCTGTGTGTTTGTGGGTGGGGAGGGTGGGGGGGCCACCGGTGTCGGTAGCTGCGTGATGCCGTGCGCATCGCTTACCCTCCAGGCGCGGGGCACAGGGTGCAGAAGTAGAAAGTGCGCAGGCGCGTGCGGGTGGAGGTAGGTGTCGCCAGTGTGCGTGCCGCGTCCGACGCCGCCATGAACGATAGGTGTCGCTAGCGCACAGCTGTTAGCTAGACCTATGACTGTGCAATGTAAGTGATTACTCTGATCTAACACGCTGGCGCGCCCTCTATCTAAACGCGGCGCGCCCATCTGCTCTGCCCGCAGATGAGAACTACAAATCGCGCACAAGCCCACGCAGCATTCGTAAGAAGCCTGTCCTAACTCGTGGCGCCCTTCTATCTTAACTTGTGCCAGGCCCTCTATCTAATGCCGTGGCGCCTCTTGTCTCCACGCCATGCGAGAACTACAACATCGCGCACAAGCCGCGCAGCATTCGTAAGAAGCTGTCTAACTCGTGGCGCCCTCTATCTAACTTGTGCAGCCCTCTATCTAACGCGTGGCGCCCTCTGTCTTCCCGAGCAGCGCAGGAGAACTTCAACATCGCGCACAAGCCGCGCAGCATTCGTAAGAAGCTCGTCTCGCTCACGCTGAAGCGTAAGTCTAAGATCACGGCTGAGGTGACGCGAGGCCTCGAGGACGGCAGTGGAGGCGGCGAGTACAGCAGCGATTACTTGGGCCTCGAGGACCGGCCGACGTCGAACCTGGAGAAGCTACACTTCATCATCGGCAACGGCATCCTGCGGCCGGAGCTGCGGTGAGTGGCGCCACCCGGTGGCGGTGGGGTGAAGCACGGGGAGTGGCGGGGGTGGGAGAGTTGGTGTTTTTTTTTGGGGGGGGGGTAGTTTTTTTCTTGTGTCTGCTTTTTTGTTTTTTCTTTTTTGTTTTCTTCTGATTCTGTTTCTGTTACTTCTTCTTCTTCTCATGCTTCTGTTTCTTTTTCTTCTTCTTCTCCTTTTTATTCTTCTTGTTGTTCCTCCTCCTCTTCTATATTTTGTTATAATAATTCTTGCGTTACTTTTTTGTCTTCCATTGTCTTCACTTACTACAGTATCATGCGCACTATTCATTAAAGTGATTACGTCACTGTAAATAGTAAAACTAAAAATACAAGTAATTCTGTTAACTTTTTATGGTTAAATTGCTGCATTATACTTCCTGTTTTACTATATTGTTCGATGTGAACATACACTCGTGACACATACATAGCCCATATAGCAAGCAAATAATGTCAGCAACATAATATCAAATCGTTCAGGTTTTTAGGATTTTTAACTAGTTGAGAAACAATCTTATCAGGTAAGAATTTGATGATACGTTTAGTCCCGTTAGTTCTTACTTTTAATGTAAACTTTTTTTACAAATTTTACCATAGAAAATTCGTGACGTAGTCAATTTAAGTACATATTTGAGCAATGATCGCGTACATGTGACTGGGACTGGGAGTGAATAAACACAGAATGATGTTTTACTGACTTGAGAGAGAGAGAGAGAGAGGGAGAGAGAGAGAGAGACGGCGACAGTGTCTTCCACGGAGAAGTAGAAAGGAAGCTTGTAGTAGGAACGTAGGGTCGAAGCAGTGATCGCACGTACGGTGGACGTGGTCGAAGGATATTCTTCAGCTGGTTGGTTTGAGAGGCTTTATATGCGTTGTTCTGTTTCGGTGTATTGGTTTTAGCGCAAATAAGATTCGTTAGCTAAACACAACTCCGTGCCTGCACCTGCTAGCTGACTAGGAGCCGGTTTGGGAGCATGGCTCGCCACAGGTTGTTTGGTGTATCGCGCGTGGAAACGCAGAGCGTTGTGAGCGAAGAGAGAGAGAGCGTGAGAGCGCGGCGTGCGAAATAGGTCGCACGATCAACTCTGAGGCTGCGATGGTCGGACGAGCGTTGCATCTCGTGAAATCTCGTGAGATTGCTGTGACACTGTGATCGGATACGCGTTGAATCTCGTGACGTCTCGTGAGATTTCTGCAAGGCTGTAATTGGACGAGCGTTGGATCGCGTTATATCTCGTGAGATTGCTGTGTGAAGCTGTGATTGGATGAGCATTGGATCTCGTGAAATCTCGTGAGATTGCTGTGAAGCTGTGATTGGATGAGCATTGGATCTCGTGAAATCTCGTGAGATTTCTGCAAGGCTGTAATAGGACGAGCGTTGGATCGCGTTATATCTCGTGAGTTTATTATCAAGCTATGAACTCGTGTGTCTGTGTTTCTGCATACCCTGCACGAAATCTCGCAAGGCCCAGCAAATTTAGATCGCGATCGGGCGAGTGTGAGATCTTGCGAGATCTCGTGAGATTAGCCGTGTAGCCAACACGATCGTGAGATCTCGCGAGATCTCGTGAGATTAACCGTGAAGCAGCGCGATCGTGAGATCTCGCGAGATCTCGTGTGATTAGCCGCGAAGCCACCGCCGTCGTGTGATCTCACGAGATCTCGTGTGTTTGCTCCCTTCAGCACATCCGCTTGATGGAGGCAGAGAGACTGAGAGCAGAGGATGAGACGATGCTGCGGAAACAGATGTCTGGAAAGAAGGCGCGCGAAGAGGCCGAGAGGAGACACCAGGTAGGTTCCCCCACGAGGAGGTAGAGAGGAG